TTACCCTCCAGTAAATCACTGAGCCATTTCAAGTTTTGCTGATGATACTTCCTATTCTTTTGCTTTCTGCCTGAAGTAACAATGAGTGAATCGTATCTTCATCATTGTGTTTCAGACATTGCCACATTGTGGGATAAAGGTGAATTGCACTTAATCAATCATCGAAGATTCAATTCCTGTTGTGCAGAAAAATATACTTACAGTGTTACACACTTCGGGTTGTTCGAGACCCTATACAAATTTTACCAAAAAAAAAAAAAAAAAAAAAAAAATCTGTCAGAAAATAAGCGTTCTTTTATCATTTTTTTTTTTCTTGTTATATTGATTAGAATGAATTGATTGGGGAATACTAATAATGAGGTTGAAAATATAAATGAGGAAGAGGGTAGTGAACGACGCTCCAGGTCACTAAAGACCAGATATGCGTTTAAGGGTTGAACACGAAGAGAAGATTCAGAAGCTGAATTATAATATGTTGTTTACATTAACAATGAGACATCTTTGTTCAATGACATTTTGGAAAAGAGAGGCAAACTGCAATATGGATAAACCCCACAGACACACAGAACTGGTTCAGTTATTATTTTATAAGCAGGAAAGCACCGTTGTTCAGCTTCAACATAATGTTTGCACTGTGCATCACTGAATAACAAAGCGCGCTTCAGAAACCAGGAAAGAGGTTTGCTGTTCTATGAGGAATAAGATCCTGCCTCTTAAAATCGCTTAGGGCTGCTTCAGTATGTTTGCAACCACTAGTGGTATTTCTTGAAAGGTCAACCGAATATATGTGCAGAACACACGTGGGCAGAGATGCTGACACATATATATCATTATAAGATCCTTGAAAAATCCTTCAAAACTACCTCCTAGCAAAATTCTCATTTGATTGACAACGACTCTGAGCTGCACCACTAAAATTGTGAAAAACACTTATCAGATATTCAGAGCTATTGCACTTTAACAAATAGCAGTTTTTAAAGAATAAAATATTCAAAGCATGATACTACTGATGATAAGGATCTGTTTTTGAGAGAAGGATGATGTAAAATCTGGTTAAGCACTTTGTAGTTCTCCACTCTGTGTTATGCTCTTGAAATAGCGTTTGAAGAGCCTGTTGGCAGGCACTTGTCAAGAAACGCTCAGGTAACTGTAACAACTTCCCACTTGTTATTGATCTGGTTGAATAGAGTGATGCAGTTCAAGTTCAATAACTGCTCAAATGCTGTACTGATATGGAGATATGATGGGTTATGTAATACACCACAATAGATTCTCATAAATGCCCTCTGAATACATAGTATGCAACATATCAAATAGCAGTTAAACTACTGAGCTTTTCATTCTTCATCTTTATAAGGCAAAATGATTTCAATTTTACAGAAAGTATAGTACTCGAAGACCAGTGTATTATTAGCACCAAAAACATTAAACATTTCAAAAGCAATTCCAATGTAAGATTAATACATATGTGTGAAACTCCCATATTATTTAGGGGTTACAAAAATGTGGTTTTGTTTGCTATACATCATTTTTCAGATGCACTGTGGCTCTTAAAGACCCTTTATATAAAAAGCCAATTTCACAAGCAGAAAGAAAACATTTTCAGTAAATTTACAACCTTCCAGAAAGTGATACAGAAGCAATTTGGTTCTCCGATATTGGTAGACATAAAAGTCCTCTCAGCATTCCTTTGAGCAAAAGTAATGCATCTAGGTTTTTACAGCCCCTCTTATGTTGGCTTATTTCTTATTCAGTGCACCCAGCTCTGTGCCAAAATGTAGTTATAATGTCATGGAGATAAATTACCCATCTATTTAACATAAAAAACAACCCTATAATGACCAGAATGAGTCTGGGACTGGTAGCCTTTACTGTCTACACAATATAAACACACTATTATTAAAGTTTGAATGTCGTGCAGCTGCAAACGTGATGATATGATACAAAGAATACATACAAAGAATTTTATGTACATTTAATGTCTTCTTTAACACTTGATTGCCTTATGCAACATCAGCAGCTACTGGCTTTAAAACCATCTGAACACTTAAACTGTTTCTCCCATGTTCTCTTCAACTAAGGTACAAGTATCTCAAAACATAATAAAAGGGAAGAATGCAAACGTACAATATTTTAAGCGAACATATTTTTTGGATGCCTAAGTATATGTGAAAAATAGGCTATTTGATATGATCCGTCAGCCAGACAGCATGAGTCTGGCTTTGCATGTTGCATTAGATCAGAGCAACCCCAGGACAATTTTTAATGTTTAGAAGTCAACCCCCCTCCGCTTGTAAATATCAGTGCGATCACCTACCCCTGACAGCTGACCAGAGAGATAAAGATAATGTATTCCATATGAGAGTCCCCTTGCTCATCGAGCCACCTTATGTCAAGCCAGCTCCATCTTTTTAAATGGACCAACTGACTACTTATCACAGGTATTCTGCTATAAAGTGAGAATTGAAGCGTATATCTAGAATTACTGTGATTTATATGGCAGTATGTTCAAAAACTAGCTCATATGATGGAGCATGTCTGCCTTCAAAGTCGAAGACACAAGGGTGAAATTCTGCTTCGTGCTTTACGCCTCCAAGGACGGAGTCACAGTTCACAAAACCATTGATCCAGTGACCGCAGTTTTCACTGGGATTTACTTTGTAATTAAAACTTTTACGAGATCATAACGTTTTATCAGGTGCTTAATATTCATTCCCAACTTTATGGTTTTGCAACTGGAAATGGACAACAGGACATGAAGTTATTAAAAATATCATAATGAGTGCTTTGTTTTTGTAATGCAAATCTTGGTTGACTGGGGTTAATATAACCAGTCATACAAAGCAGTCCCCAATTGCAGAGTTTTTGAAAATGCCTTTTTTATGGCATATAATTACAGAAAAATTATCAAAATGCGTACTGTGCGTCCCTACGGCATCTAGACTTTTTTAAACTGTGTTTTGGACTGGTTAAATGTCAGCCACGGATTTATTCCGTGAAGGACAGCAAAATAAAGGCTTTAGATTGTTTGCTGTGAGTCAGAGGGATTATTCAGATGCAGCACAATGGCTTGTAATCTACCGGTCTGCAGGGAGAGCAGCTCAGAATTTACATTATCGTGGCTTTATGAAGAGACCAGATCCCCGCAAAGTCCTGTGCATCAAAAGAATAAATAAAAACAGTAAAGTTTGTGCAAATGGTAATCTGCCCCCTTTGGAAAACTCTGGCTTTCAATCCACTTATTTACAGAGTTTAGCTCTAATGGTTTCAATTTTAGCCCTGACAAGTGTGAAGGACGATATACATAGAATCACCAATGTCCAATTAGAAAGAAAAAAAGAGTATTGTTATGTCTTCCGCACAGTTTATAAATCACATACAAAAACTGCACCAACCAATATGATGATTTTGTGGGTGCAATCTCCAAAAGCCATCAAATAGTCAAATATATATAAGACTAAACAACGCATTCTCATCATAGGGCGTCATCTAACCGATGAGTTTGACCATGCGTCTAAATACGACGCACATGGAAACTTTTAGCGTCAGTTAGATGACGTTCATCCTAGGGCGTCATCTAACTGATGAGTTTGACCATGCGTCTAAATCCGACGCACATGGCAACCTTCAGCGTCCGTTAGATGATGCGGGTAGGTTTAGGTCTGGGCTAGGGTCAGGAGGCACATCTTATATTGACGCTAAAGGGTACCATGTGCTTCGGATGTTGACGCATGGCCAAAAGCATCAGTTAGATGATGCCTTGGGACTAAATCAGTCATCGCAATTATTTTTTGAAAAAGCTATGAATATTTTTCTTTCGTTGAAATGATGGAAAATGGCACAAAATTGTTCATGACATACTTATTAAGTTTGCTCAAGCTACCCAGCAAACACAGAACGTTCCCCTAACGTTCCCGAATGGTCCCATGAGGTTATTTTATTTTTTTTGGTAACCAAACAAGAACGTTATAGGAGAACTTTCCATGTAGGTTATTTTTAGGTTCCATTTTTATAACGTAAGGAGAATGTTCCCGGAACGTTCCCTTACTCTCTAAAAAATGCCGGGTTGTTTCAACCCAATTTTGGGTAAAATATGGACAAACCCAAACGTTGGGTTAAAAATGTAATTAAAAAAATTAACCCAATGGCTGGGTAAAGTATGTCCATATTTTACCCAAAATTGGGTTGAAACAACCCAGCATTTTTTAGAGTGAAGGGAAAGTTCTAGGAATGTTCTGGGAACCAAAAACTAACATTCCCAGAACCTAAATTTGTTTGCTGGGTAACTGCTTTTCCAAGTAATATTACAAATTTATATTCAAAAACCTTGCCTGTTTGAACCTGTCATGGGTTCAATAACTGAAGCTCTGCCGTAAGAGTCAAATAACCCATAAATATGCATGTCCAAAATAATACTTTGCCATACACACATTTCAATAATATGTCCGCAAATGATAGATTTCCAAAACAACATTTCTGTCATTGTTTAATCTCCCTCATGTCATTCCAAACCTGTAAGATTTATTTTTTTTTATTTATTTTTTACTTTTCTGTGGAACACAAGAAAGGAAAGTCAAAAACAAACATTCATTTTGGACCAAAGAAAGCAAGTCATACAGGTTTGTAATGCTATGATGTAGGCCTAAGTAAATGATGACAGAAATGTCATTTTTCTCTTTGATCGAATTAAACAGCTATTAGAGTTGGAAGAGTGTTCTATAAACACTGAAATGTACATGTCCGTGACTCATGCGTTACCGCAATCCAAAAACACATTTTTTCCACCATGACCTGTCAGTCAGCGTAACTCTGTGGAACCTCAGAACTGACGGGTCAATTGAGGGGAAAATAAAAGATGAAGTCACAGGTGGACACAGCAGCTTGTGCAGGTGTTAGTTAAGTTTTTCCTGTCACCCGCGTAGATCAAATAGCCATATCAAACTGACAGGAGTGCACATCGCTTGGTCTCAGCTCAACTCCGGTCTTCCTCTTTCCCACAGGTTGGCTTTGAACAGTATATCCAGGATGAGCTCCAACGGCTCAGATGAGTTTTTCCAGGCCACAAACCATGCGGAACAGACCTTTCGAAAGATGGAGACCTATCTTCAGCACAAGCAGCTGTGTGATGTACTTTTGATAGCTGGAGATCACAAGATCCCTGCACACAGGTAAGTCTCCACCGAATCAAGGCCTTTCAAATGCCCTACTTTCACTGCAAAAACAGACAGATGAATTGGACATAAGGGAGCACTGCTTAAAATTCATTGCAATACTTCTTAAAATCAATTGAAAAGAGATTGAATTTACCTTCATCTTTCTTAGACAAAATCAAACTATTACTGCTACTTAAAACAACTAAATTCTGTCAGTAAAGCTTTAACTCTTAGTTAACTTTAATAGTTTACCTAAGCAGACTCCAAAAATATGACATTATTCTTCACAACACAAAAGGAGAAACATTAAAGAGCTGTACTGTTTTTTTTAATGCAATAAATGTGAACTGGAGCCTTCAAGTTTCAAGAAGGCCGCACAAGTACCATACAATTGTTCATTATGATTCATGTACTACAGTATAGTCTTCTGAAGTCATATGTCCTGAAGTCTTTGTGTAAGGAAATAGAATAAAAAAAAAATAATTCACTCAAAAAGGACAGTTCTGTCATAATTTACTCACCCTAATGTGGTTCTAAACCCAAAAGTTTTTCATTCGTTCTTCAGAACATAATGAAAGCCCCATTGGTCCTTGTCCATCAAACAAGTACTACTGAGCTTTTGTACTTGTTAATGTGTGGAAGTTTTGGTGGAAGATGTATGAAAGGCTTTTGTTTTTTTGAATGACGCGGGTTAAAAAAAATCAATTTTACATTTTAATTTTTGTGTTCCTTTTAATACGTGAGTCTACTACAAACTATTAATACTATAATAAGACTTAGTTGATATGTAGTTGCAAAGTTACTTATAGTTACTAGAATGTCCAAAAGTGGACCATCAAAATAAACAATGCATTCTCATCCTAGGGCGTCATCTAACTGACATTTTTGACCATGTGCCTAAATCCGACGCACATTGCAACCTTTAGCGTCAGGAAGATGACGCGGGTAGGTTTAGGTCTGGGGTAGGGTTAGGGTTAGACCACTAGGAGGCACGGCTCATTCAATGTGTGTCGGATGTTGACACATGGTCAAAAGCATCAGTTAGATGACGCCTTGGGATGAGAACGGACTGAAATAAATCCAATTACAGGAATGTAGAGACGGGTTTTGTGAACCAATTTGTCATGTAACGGATATCATTCTCTCATGAGCGTGTCAAGGAGCTCTGGGGTGCAGGGGGTTTAATATTTTCAGTGACTAATGTTTTTTTGGTAACACTTTACAATACGGGTGCACTAATATACATTAATTCATGCTTAACTAATGCACAGATAATCATGAGTTAATGTATAACTCATGAAGAACTAAAGCATTTATTAATGATTACTGCATCAGCAACTAATAAAAAGTCTATTTGATTAATAGGTTAAGTAATACATGAATTGCTATCAATTCAATGTGTCACTGTGCATTAATTCCTTAATAACATATTTTATTAACTAATAGTGTAAATGAATGTGTTAATTACCACAATTAGTCAAAGCTATGCACTTCAACTTCCAGTTGCCTGCTTTAATTAATCATTTGCAAAGGTATCATTATATTATGACTTTACTTGTTGGGGCACATCATTATTAACTAGTCATTTAGTAATTGTAGTAATTTGCACATGAATTTGCACTAACAATGAAGTAATTCATCATGTATTAATGCATATTAATGTACCTGTCATATTATCTGGAAGTTGAAATACAAGGATTTGACTCATTCTGGTAATTAACATATTAATTAACACTATTAGTTAAAAAATGAGTTATTATGAAATTAATCCACAATTACATATTTAATTAATAACAATTCATGTATGAACTAATACATTAACCTTACATACTCTTAATTAGTTTCTAATTTGGTAATCATTAACGAATAGCTTAGATAATCATTAGTTATATATTAATTCAATATTATTTGTGCAGTAGTTAAGCATGAATTAATGCTTATTAGTGCACCAGTATTGTAAAGTGTTACCGTTTTTTTTTTTTTTTTTTTATCTGTATCTTACACAAAGAGACAGTATGGCCTCAGAAACCTTGAAATATATCACACAAGGACATTTTATGGTACTGCATTCTTTTTGAAGCTTGAAAGACGGAGGCCAATTCGTTGTAATTTAATGGAAAATTGCAATGATACCTCGATCCAAATTCTGAAAAAGTCATGGGTTTGCAACAACATAGATTAAATACAATTTCATTTTGTGTTCACTGTTCCTTTTAAAGACAGAAATGCAAATAGTAGCGTCAAGAAGAGTCAAAACTTGTGCTGCATGCTCCATTTCAAACTACAGATCGTGTTGAACTTTTCTAAGGATTCTAAAACAGTGTTTATATAAAGAAATCTCTCGGCCACTGCTGAGTTTTTTGATGCTATTCTGTTGGAAAAATCTCTGTAGTCAAACCTCTACTGCATGTCCCAGTTTGACACTGAGCTCAATCAACATCATCCCAGAGCCGGATGAAACAACCTGGTGAAAATAGCAGCTCACACAGCACTGAGATACATCTTTTTGTACGGGAGGATTTTTCTTCGAAGACGACTCGGGAGAAGTTGTTTGAGTTCATCGTGAGATGTGGTTACATGTATAAACATCTTGCAAAATTATTTGCAGACTCGTCCTGAGTGCAGTTTCAGACTACTTCGCTGCCATGTTCACAAATGATGTCAGGGAGGCAAAACAAGAGGAAATTAAAATGGAGGGTGTTGATCCAGAGGCGCTGAAAGCACTGGTTCATTTTGCTTATACTGGTGAGTATCTACATTCCACTTGCAGACTTTTTTACGATTTTTTTTTTTCATTGATGCCAGTGGGCAAACACTCATTTACAAACAAAAACTAACTGTTTAACATTGCACCAGTTAAACATGCATTTTATTCCTAGAATAATTTTGAAAGGTTTGCTGCATATTTTAGCATTTTCTCTAAATTTACAGGAGTCCTGGAGCTAAAAGAGGAGACAATTGAAAGTCTTTTAGCTGCTGCTTGCCTCCTCCAGCTCTCACAAGTTATCCAGGTCTGTTGCAACTTTCTGATGAAACAACTGCACCCATCCAACTGCCTGGGGATCCGTTCATTTGCTGATGCACAGGGATGCATGGATCTTTTGAATGTCGCTCATATCTACACTATGGTAGGACCTGGCATATAAAATTGCTTGTCAAGGATAAATTATACATTACCTATAAATAGTGCTAACATTTGTCCTGACTGCTAGTTGCTGACCTTTTACAGTAATTTTCACTGTGGAATTACAGTTAAATAATGCCACACAGTGAATGGGAGTTAAATGATTGTGATGGTTGTAGAATCCCAATGATTATCTGTGTCTGCATTACAGTAAGCTCATGCATATTTACAGATTAACCAGTATAATGTCTAGAGTACAAGCTGGCAATGTTCCCGGCATGCACTCTGTCATGAATAAATTATGTGGTTTCATTATTTTACTATTTGCTGGTTTATATCACTGTTGTTTTTTTACTTATTTTGTAATGTACAGATGCATTTAAATGTAGGTTGATTGTCAGAAAAATTGATTTTTAGTATGTATATCCAAAGTCCTTTCAGGCAAGTCATGCCACTCGCCGCCATCTTGGTAACGCCTCCGGGCAGCTATTTTGGACTTAACAAGACCAGGCTCCTATCTAAATGAATGGGCAGAGAGTCAGAACTGCACTTTCACTGGTCACCGAGACATAAAAACTGCATGAATAGAAACAGCAGTAAAATATAATACAAATTGCTGGAAAAGTTTGATGACTTTGCACTAAAATAAGGTTTAAAACACCGTTTTCGCCGACTCCTTGTTGCGCGCGCGCTGCACAGTTTGAAATGCATGCTCTTGCTCGCTCGCTCTAGATTCAGAGAGATTTGAACTAATTTGCGGGCATCAGCGAGCCTCCATCAACCTGCGGGAGACACCCGGAACTTCTGGGAGACTTGGGATGTCTGATATTTACACAACGCACACATACACTGCATATCTAATCTGCCGCCTTTTCAAACAGTTACGTATTTAAATGTTTCCCGGCTTGACCGTTAAAAGCAGACGATTGGCTGTCTAGCGGGAGGGGCGGGGCATTTGCATATAACCGCCATCTTTGGTGTTACGGGTTTTCCCTATACATTTGTATTAAGGATTGAGGAAGTGGCATGACTTGGGTATATCTCATACTAAAGGTTCACTAGAGATAACAACCATCTGGGGAATAATTTTTCCACATACAGTGAAGGGAAATATAGTTAAAGGACAAGTTCAGTATTTTACAATTAAGTTTTAAGATTGTTTCTGATGAAATAGAATGGTTAAGATTGTTTTTTAGACAAATACTGCTGTCCCGAGAATTTTTGGAATCTGTGGGTGCACCCCCACACCTCCACAATGGTAGCATAGGTGCACAGGAACAATCCTTCATTAAACGCATAAAACTTTAGTTTACAAAGGCGTGAAACTCACCGAGTGGTCTGGGGTGTTAACTGATATTCTCACATAAAAATCGCTGCAAAAGATACTTTCCTACAGGCATGGGCGAGGCTAGCCCCTTTTTAGGGGTGCTTCAGCACCCCTAAAAAGGAGCTCAGCACCCCTAAAACTTGTAGCAAGAAATGTTGTTATAAATGTATGTTATTCTGTAGGCTACAGGTGTTTTACCATTCGTTGTAAAACTGTTGACCTATTTTTCTGAACGCCACACAACCGTACATTCTTCCGTTGAGAGCTTGAATAATAGACGGATGGATTACCTATAGTGTAGGCTACGATACCACGTCTGCATAAGACAACAGAAAGAATACAAACAACCCCATTTCCATTTCCGCCGGAATACAAGTCAATGAAGTTGTACAAAAACTACGATAAAACCTGTTGGAAAGCATCTTTTGCAACGATTTTTGTGTGAGCATATCAGTGAACACCCCAGACCACTCGGTGAGTTTCACGTCTTTGTAAACTAAAATTTTATGTGTTTTATAAAGGATTGTTCCTGTCCACCTATGCAACCATTGTGAAGGTTGGGGGAATCCGAAAATTCTCGGGACAGCAGCATCTGTCTAAAAACTTAACTTAATATCAAAATCAATTATTTATTTTGTACCACTATTACATTGGCTGAAAGAAAATGTGATATATTTAAATTAAATGAATTTAAAAGTGAAAATGGTCTAAAATCCAAGTCAAAAGAAAAGCTAATCACCACAATGATTTAAAAAAAAAATTAAAAAATGCTTACCCAATTATCTAAATTATATTTATTCATCTGTTTTTTTTTATTGAATTACAATTTCTGTTATCTTAGAAAATGACACTGCAATCACAGTACAGTTCTAGACATAGTATTTTCATGTCAGAAATTACTGATAAAGTAAGACGACTTACTAAAAAGCAGAAATGTATCCCAGAATATCCAAGCAGCTCTACAAAGAAAGTTAAATGGTTATTGGAACTGTCAATCAAGAATTTAAAGGCTAGATTTTGAGTAAATTACAGACTGAAATATATCGGTAACTCTTTACAATACAGGTGCACTAATAAGCATTAATTCATGCTTGACTAATCCACAGATAATACTGAATTAGTGTGTAACTAATGATTATAAGCTATTCATTAATGATTACCACATTAGGAACTAACTAAGTAAGGTTAATGTATTAGTTCATACATTAATTAAATATGTGATTGTGAATTAATTACATAATAACTCATTTTTTAACTAATAGCGTTAATTAATATGTTAATTACCAGAATAAGCCAAAGCCTTGTATTTCAACTTCCAGATAATATGACAGGTACACTAATATGCATTAATACATGATTAATTACTTCATTGTTAGTGCAAATTCATGTGCAAATTACTACAATTACTAGTGCAAATTCATGTGCAAATTACTACAATTACTAAATGACTAGTTAATAATGATGTGCCCCAACAAGTAAAGTCATAACATAATGATACCGTTTGCAGATCATTAGCAAATGATTAATTAAAGCAGACAACTGGAAGTTGAAGTGCATAGCTTTGACTAATTGTGGTATTTAACACATTAATTTAAACTTTTAGTTAATAAAATATGTTATTAAGGAATTAATACACAATGACACATTGAATTAATAGCAATTCATGTATTACTTAATCTATTAATCGCTTAGACTCTTTATTAGTTGCTGATGCACTAATCATTAATTAATGGTTTTGTTCTTTATGAGTTATACATTAACTCAGTATTATCTGTGCATTAGTTAAGCATGAATTAATGTATGGAATTGTATGGCAGAGACAGCAGCATGAACATTCTTCTCAACGTCTCCTTTTGTGTTCCATCGACCAAACTAAATTCATAAAGGTTTGAAGCAACATTAGGGTGGCAGAATTTTCATTTTGAGGTGAACTTTAAAATAAAATCTTGAACCATGTCAACTCTTTTCCTGCAGATTGAAAAAACAGGAAATACCACAAGTTTTAAAACCTAGTCACTGACCTAGACAATTCCAAGCATAAAATGACTTGATGTGACATTTTGTATCTCGGCATGCGGTCAGTTTAAAGGGGTGTGCAGAGCTCTTTGATGTGTGAGAAATATAGCAAAGGCAGCTTTGGTTAAATAATGCCAATACATTAAGTATTCTCAGGAGCCCAAAGATCCCCAGAGCACATTTGCTTGATGGGCATTTCTCTGCCCAAGTGCGGAAACAACTTAGGAAGATAGCCGTTATCTCCTGAAGGACATCTGCACAGGCTGTTTACAAAGGGCTTTCCAGAGCAGAGAGGTTAATCTAATCAGAGAACACAAGCAGAAAATTTCCTGTTCCATCACTTCGGTAATGAACACAGAGCTTCCTGGTTTGCTTGCTGTGGTGTTCAGATTATAAAGTTCTTTTTTTGACAAGCTTGTTTTTCCCTGTTTCTGTCTCATTCTGACATTACATCTTTGTGTGTGTGTGTGTGTGTGTGTGAAGCTGCAGTCTTACATGGGTTAATGTCTCAGTTCGAGTCATCTATGGCCTGTTTGTGTTTTCTTTTGAATGTAAAAGGGAGATTCGTTTGCAGTAACGAGAGGAAAAGAATGCGCAGAATAAAGCAACTGAGACAATGCTTAGATAAAATACTGACAACACAAACACTGCTCTAGGTCAAATTTCCCCTCATGAATACATTAGATTTGGTGCAACCCATTAAATCCTCACATCCTCCCTTACTATTTAATCCATTTAGATATTCCGGAGCCTTGTGCCTCTCACACTAATATTGCTGCGGGACCTGTTACTTGCTGTTCAGTTTAATGCCCTTGCCTACAATATATGCCCCGAGAGGCCTCAAAATTAATGTTTGCAGTGAAACAGAATTAATGTATTCAATTAATTGCCAGGGTGCTTGTGATGGTAATTGCAAATAATGAATCTATATCAATGTCACCAGAAGAAGTAGAGTTTAAATCTATATTGAGGAGGGGCTGAAAATCAATGCATGGTACTTATTTAATTGTGTGTGTGAGCTAAGCTCCGAGAGCCCAGGCACGGCTTTAACAGAGATGATGCTGTTTAGATCTGATTAATGATCAATAGGATGTTTACTACCCTTATTTGCAACAGAATCAATGGGGATTACTTCTGATGCACAAAGGAGACTCTGGAAGTGCCATAAGTAATGAACAAGCTTGTTAGAGAGATTTACGCCATCCTCTTTACTTGCTACAAGTTGAACCTTGAAAGAATGGTTTTATCAGAGAGCAACTCGGATGTCCTTGTGGAGCAGATCATTATATCGCTGATATGACATGATTTTAAACATTTATTAGATTCTTAAAAATGAATCATTGAAAACAAGATGTTATATTTTGTGTCAGTGCCATCCACTTGTTAAGTCGTGACATTTCGAATACTCTTTCAGGTCCAAACCTCTACTTCGTTTCAAGCGAAAATACCATCTTAACGGTAGCATGTGAGCACTAATCAATGAATGAATGAATGAAAAGTGTTAACTTTGAACATGTAAAAAAAAAAAAAAAAACAACAACAACAAAACAATCAATAGCAATCTAAATAATAAATTGCATAAAAATAAATATAAATAAAAAATAATAATAAAAAAGTAAAATGAAAAAATATAAATAAACTATCACCTAACTAATAACCTTCTTCCTCTCTATACCTTGCAAATACCTTATTTTTACAATGCTTTTTAGACTCAGAGTCATACTTGGGCATTGTTTAATAAATACTGAACTTAATCTGTTCCACATCTTCACTCCACATAAAGAAACACAAAAACTTTTTAATGTTCTACAAACACGTAATTTTTTAAAGTTAATTGCACCCACCCCTAATATTATATCTCCCTTCTCTATTAAAAAAATAGCTGTTGAATATTACCAGGGTGTAGGTTATTTTTTGCTTTATACATCATTTGTGCTGTTTGAACATAAACCAGATGAGTAAATTTCAATGTCTTGGATTTTAAAAATAATACATTTGTGTGATCTCTATAACCAGCACCATGAATCATCCTTATGGCTCTTTTTTGCTTCATAAATACAGACACAGATAATAGTCTGCATCCGTAAGTATTACCCCAAACCTCCGCACAATAGTTTAGATATGGTAATATCAGCGTGCAGTAAAGAATGTGGAGTGATTTGTAGTTCAGTTCATGTATCGCTTTATCCAATATTGAAATACTTCTTGAAAGTTTATTGTCCACATGTTTTATGTGAGATTTCCAACATATTTTTTTCATCTATTTTCACCCCCAGAAACTTATTTCATGAACCCGTTCTATGTCCACCCCATCTACCTGTATCCGAATTTGTATACTCTTTTTACAGTTACCAAATTGTCACAGTCTTCGTCTGCACCTGTCTGTCTTAGTCTTCACTACACTTCCCAGGATCCTCTTGTTTCCACACCTGTTCTCACTCCCACAATCATCCACCTGTTCAGCGTCATTATCATCTGTGTCACCTGTCTTCACCTCGTTAGTGTTCATTTGTATCTGTATTTAGTTCTCTCTATTGGTTCAGTTCATGTCGGTCAATGTTGACTCTTGTGTATGCAGTGTTTATGTTAAGTGATATTGAGAGTACACTCTTAGAAGAAAAGGTTCTATATAGAACCTTAAAAGGTTCTAAAGCGCTACGTATTTGGAACCCCTAAAATGCAATGCATGTGAATGATCACAAAATTCAAGATATAGGGGTTTAAAAATGTAATGAATCAATATCACACAAAGAGTGTCTTTTCAGTTTTTATCCTCCAAAAATCAGCATGATTAAAATGTGACATTAAGTTACAACAACAGTTTAACAATAAATTAATTACAACTACACAATGTTGCAGAATAATGCAATATATGAATGAATAATAGCCTATAAAGAACCATTGTGCCCAAAGGGTTCTTTTTTGTCATTATAGAACTTTTTTTTTAGCAAAAACGTTCCTTTGGAGTTGAGTAAAGAACCCTATGCTTCATATATAGAACCCCAATGAACCTTTTTTTTTTCTAAGAGAGTAATTTTATTAGGAGTGTTTGTGTACCCTGCCTGCCTATCTGTCCCTGTTTGAGAGTATTATTAGAAAAGTGTTTGCATTGAAGCATTTGCCTCATTTGGCAAAGTTGGTTTTATTGATGTTTAATGATAATTTATTTCTATCAAACCATCCTTTTAATTTATAAATTGCTGAAGTAATAATCTCCACTAGTTCCTGTAAATTCCCCCCAGAACAAACAATATTTGTGTCATCCACAAATAGTTCGGGTTTTACTGTCTTTGTAAGTTTACATATATCATTTATATATATCAAAAACAATTTTGGACCCAAAACTGATCCCTGGGGGACGCCACAAGTAATGTCCATGTACGACGATGAGTATTCCAACTTCACAAATTGTTTCCTACCTCTTAAATAACTGATCCCGTACCGTTCCAATTTATTAATTAATATATTATGATTGATTGTGTCAAAAGCTTTTTTAAGATCGATGAAAACTTCAGTATACTGTTTGTCTTCTAAAGCGTTTGTGATTTCCTCGATTGAATCAATTAATGCCAGTCATGTTGAACTATATCTGATCTAAATCCATATTGATTGTCAGAAAGTATTTTATATTTATCTAAGAATTTCTCTAATCTATCAAAAAATAGTTTTTCAAGAATTTTGGAAAACTGTGGTGATAAAGAAATAGATCTACAATTTGTGAACTTTTGTCTATCCCTTGTGTTCCTATGGAAATTAAATCCATAGTATTGTCTATTTTGTACAATGGAACAACTTTTACCCTTTTTCGCCCTTTTAAGTGCATTATTTTAGTTTCCCTGTATCACTGAGATTACAGTATAGGGATTACACTTTATTTCGATAACCAACTTTAGACATTCTACTAATTTTACAACTATGTATATGTCAGCCAACTCTCAGTAATTTGCAACTATTTGTCAACTAACTCTCATTAGAGACTAATAGGTTATAGTTTTATGGTTAGTAGATTAAGTTAAAGCCTAATTGCAAAGTTACTTGTAGTCAGTAGAATATCTATTGGAGGACCATCAAAATAAAGTGTCCGCAGATATCGAAGGGGACCTATTGTGCCCCTTTTTTAAAGATGTAATATAAGTCCTAATTGTCCCCAGAATGTCCCCATAATTTTTACCATTAAAGGGTGGTTGTAGGGTGTTTGCCAACACACATTTATGTTCAACGCCATGTAAAATGTAATTATGCACAATAGGTCCCCTTTAAGCAGACTATCTACTAACATTCGAATGAATGCTATTGATAGTAGAATGTTTAAAGTGTACTATCGAGGAAAAAAAAGCCCAGTATGGAGATAAAGATTTGGATCATGAGTTTTTGGTGGTACTACAGCACACAAGTATACTGTATTTATGATTGCGTTTGGAATCTGAAGAAGTGTTTGTACAAGTGGTGACTTGTAACGTTAGACTTAACAACTGGATTGCTGCATTAGATACAGCGAGAAAACATTTAAATTTAATTAAATAGGCCTAAATAAATATATTTTGGAATTGTACATGTAGTTTAGGACTCGCAATTAATGTCTCATTGCATTTATCAATGTCTCACAGAATTATAAAATAAGCAAATACAATTGCTTAATATTTCAGGAACACTTTCTAGAGGTCATTCAGAATCAGGAGTTCCTCCTGCTACCCACAATGGAAATTGTCAAGCTTTTGGCCAGTGATGAAATCAATGTTCCAGATGAAGAAACGATTTTTCAAGCACTGATGATGTGGGTTCGCTATGATGTGCAGCCCCGCCAGCAGGATCTAGGAGTGTTACTGGCATATATTCGACTCCCCCTTTTACCGCCACAGGTTTGCCAATAACATGCAAATGAGACTATTGTTCATTTCAACTGAATGTAATACCTAAAAACCTAATGTAATATTTAAATATTATTCTCCAACATTCCACTGTTTAGTACCCTTTTCTGTTGGATGTTAATGCACTATTTCTTGATTTAGCTTCTTGCTGATCTGGAAAACAATAAGATGTTTTCAGAAGACCTGGAATGCCAGAAGCTCCTAATGGAAGCCATGAAGTACCATCTTTTACCAGAGCGCCGTCCCATGCTACAGAGCCCAAGAACCAAACCACGGAAATCCACTGTTGGATCACTGTACGCTGTTGGAGGGATGGACGCCTCTAAAGGTGGACCATTATTTAGCTATTTCTCTTTCTACTTTTTATTATAGCATTACATCTCATTGCCATATATATATATATATATATATATAAACAGGATGTTCAGCAGAATTCAAGCCATTATCTATTTAATTTTGTCTCTGAGAGACCCTTTTTTTTGTTGCGGTCAGCTATTAGCATGCAAATCTACAACTAACAATAAACTAAGAGTCTGTCTACATACAGGGTCTACAACAATAGAGAAGTATGACCTTCGCACAAACAAATGGATCCAGGTTGGCATCATGAATGGGCGAAGACTTCAGTTCGGGGTGGCAGTGATCGACAACAAACTCTATGTGGTAGGAGGAAGGGATGGGCTCAAGACCTCTAACATGGTGGAGTGCTACAATCCAATCACTAAAGTGTGGTCCACCATGCCTCCAATGTCAACCCACAGACACGGATTAGGTGCGTTCTTTGAATGCTTCAGATAATAATCTTATTACACACTATTTTCATCTATTAATAACTTACATGCTCACTATCTGCTTCTGTTATTGAAGTGGTATGAACTATGAAATAGTCAGAATATATATATATTTTTTGATGGAATATTTTGCTGAACCTTTAGACAAAACCATTTGTTTTTGTTGAGTATCATTTGATACATCAGGCTTTTATGGCTCATGTATTATGAAAAATGAGAATATGGAACTCACATTTGAGGAAACAAAACAACAACAACAACAACAAAAACCCTCAGTTTTATTTGGCGGCCCAAACAGAGCAAAAAATATGCAATTTGGTGCAGTTACAATGCAGGATGAATTACTGATAGCTTGTTGTGTAAATCAATGAGATCTTTATAACAGTAAAGAAAACTTCTTTCATAAAATTAATCTAAATATCAGTTGACTAACCCTGACTTTATATCTCCCAATAATGTTTTAGTAACATGATATTTAAAGGTATAGTTTTATGATCAAAGCTTTGTAGTTTTTAGTATAGGGGAAACAACATGTAAACATAACTTCTGTAAAGAGAACAGAAACAACCTCACATTTACAACACTATTCTTTATGCTGTAATTTATAAAGATTTGCTCATGATTATTAATGAAGCTAGTTCACCCAGTAGGCCTACTGAAAGGAAAACATTGCTAATCAGCTGTTAAAGAAGAAGAAATACTACTACAATGAGAGTATAGTTCATAAATGAATACTTATTAATTTATTAAGCTAATTTGCTTTAATTTCCATGTAAGGATATAGGTGCATTAGTGAGTAATTTGTAGAGGAGACAAGTAACACAACTTGAACCTGTCATGTTGAACAACGTTTTCTGTTGGGCAAAAATAAACACCTTAGCTCAAGCCTGGTTTAATGATTGGATACTTTTTAAACACAGCTCCATGAAGCTTTATTTCGAATGGTCCAGAGGGTGTATCAAACTAGCAAAGGCACGTGAGTTCAGCAACTTAATGATTTGTTGATAACATTTAACAGATTACACTTTCATGAAAACATTTGCAATTAGTTTGCAAAGGTGGTATTAAAGCCTACATCTTTTGGCTGCTGTTGTTGCATTTACAACATCCAGACCAGCCGGTGTCGCCATTATAATAAAATAAAATAAATAAATAATAACAAATTTGAATCAATTAAAAATTACAGTAATAGTGCTGGCTTTCTTGACATTGGTTCTTACTCTTGAAAGTTGATCATTTAAGCACCAAACAGACACTAACCTAAATTGACAATTGAAACTGAATAGAAAATTAAGTGTATGTGTTAAACAATAAATGCAAGCATTATTGCCGACTATTTCAATAAGGTGGGACACAACAGAAATTGTGTTTTTATCAACCACGTCTCGGAAAATAACTATAAAAATAACTGGGTGGTCTCACATCAAAACAATATGTGTATATTACTAAAGGCAATCTGAGCTGCCCATAAAAATGTATATAAAAATATGGCAGGTAATTTAAACTCGTAGAGGAGAAAATGCATTGTACAATAATCCCATAAAACTGACACTCAAATGTTGCTCATTGAGGTCTATAAAGTGTACTGCAATATCAGAACCAAAATGTCGGGCAAGAGACAATTTATATGTCAAGCCCCCAAAAGCGACAGCCAGAGATTTATAATAGAAACATGAGGGACCTTTTCTGTAAAGGGAGCAGCGAGATGCACCATGAATACTTAATGCTTACCACAGCGTCTCAGGACTCTCGTCCTCAGAGTCAGACCGGAAGAATGTCTTTAGCTACTGATGAAGTGCTCCTATGGAAATTAAATCCATAGTATTGTCATTTGAATTTTGCCATTTTCCAGTTTCACTACAATACAAAGACTAAGACAGACAATTAATTTGGATTGTGTATTTGTCGAATGTATGCCGTGCACCACCAAAAGCTGAGCCCAGAGTCATTCTCTTTACTTGTTTTATTCATTTATTTCTTCAAAAAGGAATTGCTGTGCTGGAGGGGCCCATGTATGCAGTGGGAGGCCATGACGGATGGAGCTATTTGAACACAGTAGAAAGGTGGGACCCCCAGGCGAGGCAGTGGAATTATGTGGCCAGTATGTCCACCCCGCGCAGCACTGTTGGAGTCACTGCTCTCAATGGAAAGTAAGGGATTCATTTGTTCTTATTTTCTTTGGTAGGATTGTTGCGCTACCATACCATAACTGAAATATCTAAATTCAGACAGGGGATAGTGCACTATATTACCACTGTAATAATATTGTAATATGTAAAACATTTCAATTTGTAATTTATTTAACTCAAAAAGAGATGGAAAGTGGGAAAAAAAGAAGAAAAAAAACTTTTCTATCAACAGCAGTATACAGAATGTGCAGTGTGCTGTGGATGATCGCTTTTCTCCATGGATTCTCCTCATGATGAGGTCTGAATTAGGTTCTGTATCCAATACACTGCGTAACCTTGTACATCCAGACGGGAGTTAATAGGCTCTGAGACCAATGCATCTCTAGTGTCTTTTACATTAAAGTCACTTGAGTGGCAGGCGAGCTGCTGTTAGCTTTATCCCCCCCCAAAAAATAAAAAATAAAGGCTGGTTTTGAATCTAGCAGAACATTGACTGATGACTATGACCAGGTCAAAAACAAGCCCTTCAAGTGTACCTCTACAGCACATTGTCCTACTTTTCAAAGTAAATGATTGATCAGTCTTTTCAACAGAACATCTTTTTGGCTAAAATTTTGAGATGATTGTACTTTTGTCATTGCTCCACCAAAATTTTGTAAAATACTTATTATTTAAAAAAACAAAGCTCTAAACATATCTATTTTTCTTTTAATCATTGCTGATTTCGTCAGACATATTATACAACACCTTGGTCAGCAATCTTTGTTTTTAATGATACTATACATAAAGTTGACATTAATATCTTTCATTGAAAAACGTCTTGGTTATGTATGTAACCCTCGTTCCCTGAGTACGGAATGGTGACGTTACGTTGAATGGCGACGAAATGGGGGTTTCGCTTAGAAGCCTATCACCTTCAAATGTTTAAAAACGAAAAAATGCCATGGGTCTGTGGAATTTACATAGTGTAACTCCGCCCCACCTTGTGGGTCTATAAGAAAGAACGCTGGCAGAATGCAGCAATGGCGTTGACGTCAACAGTGCGGGAGGAACTCAGGTCTACTCGGGGGAAATTCACCTGAGGAGAATATCGCACGTATCCAGTCCATGTAGTGGAATGGCAAGCAAGCGAAGACACCTAAGCGGATCCTAGTTGCTGGCTAGTTGAAGCGAGTACACCAGAGGACACCGGCTCCACTCGGCAGTAGAATCTCGCAAATGTGTTAGGTGTTGCCCAGCATGCAGCTCTGCAGATGTCTGTTAGCAAGGCGCCATGCGCTAAAGCCCAAGAGAAAATCACACTCCGGGCGGAGTGGGCTTTCACACCAAAGGGACACATTCAACCTTGCTGCTGGTGTGCTGGTGTTTCCAATATCCAGTGAGACAACCTTTGCTTGGAAAGACCCTTTCCCTTCAGCGTCCCACCATGACAGACAAAGAGCTGGTCTGAGGTCCCGAAACACTACGTCCTATCTATGTAGGCATGGAGAGCGCATACTGGACAGCAGTGCCAAGCTGGGTCTGCCTCCTCTGAGGGCAGCACTTGCAGGTTCACCACCTGGTCCCGAAAGGGAGTGGTAGGAACCTTGGGCATGTATCGAGGCTGGGGTCTCAGGATCACGTGACAGTTAGCCAGCCTAAATTCCAGGCACACTTCGTCAACGGGAAATCCATGCAGGTCCCCCCTCTTGATGGAGGGAAATGCAACCAGGAGCGCTGTCTTCATCGCCAAGCACTTAAGCTACACTGATTTCAAGGGCTGGTTGCAAGGGCTGGCTCCGCAGAGCAGTTAAAACCACTGAGAGGTCCCAAGAAGATTCAGTCTCCTCGCTCTTCTCAGGAACCTGATGACCTGGTCGTGCTTCGCAAAGGACTTACCCTCAACTGCAACATGAAGTGCGGTGATGGCGGATAAATAAACTTTCAGGGTGGAGGGAGACAGCCTTTGCTCCAACCCTTCTTGCAGGTAGGAAAGCACGACACTGATCGGGCATATCGTGGGTTCTTCTTGGTGAGAAAAGCACCAGTTGCCAAGGAGGTTCCACTTCAACGCATAGGCATGTCTCATGGACGACGCTCTAGCAGAAGTGATGGTAGCCACCCCCACTGGTAGTAGGGTACTCATACCTACCTCGTCCCATCCAGGAGCCAGACATGGAGGTTCCAAAGATCGGGACGAGGGTGCCTTAGGGTGTCCCGTCCTGAGAAAGAAGGTCCTTCCTCAGAGGAATTGGCCAGGGAGTTGCTGTCGTGAGGAGTACAAGTTCGGAGAACCAGGTCCAGGTGGGCCAGTGGGGCCAACCACAGGGTCTGTGTGAGAAGGCTCACTGGGGGAAACCTGGAGGCCCTGCCGCCAGCTGTGCACCAGTGCATCCGTGCCGAGTGTACCCACGGTCAGGAAATAAAACAGGCTGCAATGGGAAGAGTCGTGGACAAACAGATCTCCCTGAGTGTCCCTGAATTGTTCCCAAATCAGTTGACTCACCATTCACCAGAGAGAGGGGGAATCCATGAGAGTTCTTTGGCTGCACAGTTCAGATTTCTTGGAATGTAAATAGCACTACACATCCTCAGATGCTTCCGACTCCATAAGAGGAGATGGCAAGCGAATTGCAACATACGGCGGGATCGTAGACCATCTTGCCGGTTGATGTACGCTACCGTCGCGGTATTGTCTGAACGGACTAGTACGTGCTGTTCTTTGAGCAACACATGGAAGCGGTGCAGAGCCAATCGTACTGCCAGCAACTCGAGGCAATTGACATGCAGAAGTTGCTGGGGTCCTGTCCAGGAGCCTGCGGCAGCATGTCCATTGCACATGGCAACCCAACCTGTGGTGGCGGCATCTGTTGAGACAACAACATGCCTGCAAACTCGATGTAGGGGCACACCGGCCCATAGAAAGCTGAAGTTCGACCACGGGGTGAAGGTTCGACGGCAGGTCAGAGTAACTGGTACTCTGAGCGTGTACTGTTGTCATCGCAAAGCCAGTGCTGAAGTGGTCTCAACTGAAGCAACCCGAGTGGTGTGACTGGCGCTGTGAATGCCATATGCCCCAGGAGCCTCTGAAATAGTTTCAGTGGAACCGCACTGTTGCTCTGGATTTGACACAGGCATGTCAGCAGTGACTGCGCGCACTCGATCATAAGCTGTGCAGACATGCCGATTTTCATACCGAGAAAAGAGATCCGCTGCACGGGGCAAAGTTTGCTCTTTTCCCAGTTGACCCGAAGGCATAGACGAGCTAGGTGCCCTAGGTCTCTGTGTTCATAAACCTTGTCTCGATAGTGAGCTTGGCCATGAGCATTTTGAACGGAATCTTCTGAAGAGATCTGTTCAAAACGCTCAGTCCAGGATTGGGCATAACCCACCGGATTCCTTCTGTAAAATGAAGTGGCTGTAAAACGTATAAATGGAAGTTGTACTGGAATGATACTGATTTTACTAATGTATTGTGATGTGTGACTAATAATATACAGGTTATAAAGGTTATGTCTACTTTAAAGTCACCATGAAACAAACTGACATTTCTTCAGCCACAAACAGCAGTAATAGCAAACCAAAATGATCACAGCAATTCCCGATAAAAAAAAAAAAAAATCAAGTTCCACCCTACATTCTTTCTTTCTTTTTTTGAGAAGCTGTTTAACATGGATATACATCACAATAGGGAAGAAAAGACCACAACAACTTCAGTTTCATGCCGACTTTAATGATTAACCATTTTCTTTGTTTATCAAAAAAACTTAGATAACATATGCCAAATAACCAATACAATGTGGAAAAATGTTACGTCCCACTTGCAAAAAAAGTGATTAAGCATCCTGTTTCATTCTGAAATACTTCACACAATAAAATAAGTAAAATAAGCTATGAATGTTTTTGTTTTTTTTGTCTTTATATATTTACAGGTTGTTTGCTGTCGGTGGTCGTGATGGAAGCTCCTGTTTGCGATCCATGGAATGTTTTGATCCCCACACCAATAAATGGAGCATGTGTGCACCTATGTCAAAGAGGAGGGGAGGAGTGGGTGTGGCCACATATAACAGTTTCTTGTATGCAGTCGGAGGACATGATGCACCAGCTTCAAGCCATTGTTCTCGTCTGTCTGACTGTGTGGAGAGGTAAGCCACAATGACACAACATCTGCGAAGAAAGAAACCCAACGCCTAATTATCTTCACAATAATGACAACACCCCACAAATGCAGGTTGTGAGTCTCGACAGATAGTTAAGGGTGCCAAGTACTATAATTTACACATTTGTTTGCAAATCCGGACACACCTTACTTCATTGTGAAGACACTGTTACCTTGTTATTGAAGAATGTGGTTGGGAGCCACAGTAGTTCAGTAATCTGGTGTTAAACGCCTCCTGCTGGTGATGATTCGAACTACAGCCAATACTAATGTGGATTAAACCTGGTTAAAAATAATCAAATGTTAAATGAAATGGTAAAACAGTTTAGGAAAAAAAGGCTCAGCGTATAAAATCTAATAATTTTGGAGCCAATGTATAAGTAAATTAGGCTAAAATAACAATAAAAAAAACATTAAAAACATTAATGAACAAAGGCCATCAGAAACTTAAACGCATTACTCTACAAGTTGAAAACACAATAGATTTCATTGTTGGAGATGATAATCATAGTCCTTGTGCTTTCAAAGGCTTCCACTGTCTAGATTACATACTTAATGCTGTTTACCTGCACTAATTAAGTGTAGTTAATTGTAATAATCTCTCTTTTTTTCAGTGACTTATATTGAAAGTGCAAGCATTGTTTTTCTATTATGTTGCATTTCATCTCATATGTTCTGTACTTCATTCAAAGGTATGACCCCAAAACAGACACATGGACCACAGTGTCCTCCCTGAGCGTCCCCCGGGATGCAGTGGGGGTGTGTTTGCTGGGAGACAGGTTATATGCGGTCGGAGGCTATGATGGTCAGACCTACTTAAACAGTGTTGAGTCCTATGATGACCAGAGCAATGAATGGACTGAGGTGGGTGCATTGAGCTCATGTTTAAATCAGGCTTTACTGTTTTGTTTTACTCACAATTTTGTACTTGATTATTTTTTTTAGAGTTTATTATAACTACAAAAGTCTATTTATTGTAAAAATGTCCATGGAGTTAGAGGATTTTTTTTTTTTAAATTTATATTAATTTTCCAGTTCTTGAAATCCCACTTTAAAAATAAATAAATAAATAAATAGTGATCTGATCACACACTTTTTCTTTTTCTTTTTCTTTTTTTTTCTCCTTTGGTGCTTGTTTACTTATTTATACAGATCCACAAAAAGTGATGCTGCCCATACAGTACAATTCTGGTTGATTTTTCATAGTTCCCTGTCAGTCAGTCAGTCACGTTCTCGGCTGAGTGGCCAATTACCTTTGAGTGGTAATAAAATAAAACATGTCCAACAAATTAATTGGCTTCAACGGGGCACCTTTCATGGCTTCCAAAACCGTGGAAAGGTCCCACATGGGGACTGAGGGGGGTCTTGGAGGATTCAGCCTCTTAGCTGCTTTAAGGAAGCGCATGACCAGATCGTTCTTCCCCAGTGAATGGCCAGGTGCGGGTTTTGTAAATGCTGCTATGGCCGCCACATAAACTTTGAGCGTGGATGGGGTTCTGCCCTTATCCAGTGGCTCCTGAAGGAAGGAGAGAACTTCTGTAACCCTGCAGTCTAGGGGTGAAAAGCCTTGGGCTTTGCACCAGCCAGAAAACACAGACCACTTTGAGGAATAGAGTTGTCTAATAGACGGCGCTCTAGCCTGCGTGATCGTGTTTAACCTGTGATTTAGGTCTACCTGCGCTCTGCCGAATGTCTCCCACAGCAGTAGGACCGTCTGCAGGTGCAGAGACACTTCTCCTGCTGGAACATTGTTTCTGGATGGTCCGTCTGGTCCCAAATTCAGGAGACCAGGCACATGTGCTGCTCTCAATGAGCGCAGATTGTTCTGAGCCCATACCAGGAGGCGTTTCATCAGCCTGTAAAGGTTTCGGGACCTGACGCCACCCTGGCGATTTAAGTTGTCACAGCGGACCAAGATGTGGTGACCTTTTATTCAGGGACAAAAGGGCCTCAGCACGTTGTCGACTGCCATAATTTCTAGACAGTTTATGTTTAGGAGCTTCTCCCGTTTTTACCACTGGCCAAAGAATGGTCTGCCTTCAAGCAGCGCTCCCCATCCCGAGGTTGACTCCACTTTCACACTCGAGGAAGTCCCCAGGTTTACACCTAACTGATACCAGTCGATTGCTCTCCATGTGTTCAGAGCTGTGACAAATTTCTGATCGACCTTGAGGCGAAACAGACCGGAGGCCCATGCGTGAGGTGGTACTCGCGTTTTTTTGCCATAACTGCAGTGGCCTCATGATGCGAAGCAGACCCAACTGGAGTACTGATGATGCTGAGGCCATGAGACCCAGCATTTTCTGAAACCTTTTGAGCGGGACTATAGTGCTGCAGTGGAAGGATTTTGTGATGCGCTGAATGTTCAGTCTGGCGACTGCTCTGGAAAGCTCTGGCGACAGTCGCGCTGTCATAGACTGCGAGTCCATTTCTGTGCCCTGAAAAGATATTCTCTGACTGGGGACAATAAACTTTTCGCCCAATTGACTTTGAGACCTAGATTGTCGAGATGTTCGAGTAATATGGTCCTGTGTTCTATGAGCTCTGAGTGTGATCGAGCTAAAATCAGCCAATCGTCCAAGTAGTTCAAACCTCGCATGCCCCGAAGTTTCACCGTTGGCCTGAGCTGACTGTATATGTTTTGGTTTCATTTTTACAGAAACCGTGGGACATGCAGTGTGTAGTGTTTGTGGGCACTGGGTTGTGGGCACATTCACAACATTTCGATTTCATTTTATTATTATTATCATTTTATCATGTGTATTATTCTAGCTATAAAGTTGCTCTCTTATTTGTATGGTTAGTTTTTTAGATGTTACATTATCATGGCAATAAATAACACAGTCTCATCCCAAGTCGCCATATAACTGACGTCTTGGGACGTCTTTTGACCATACGTCAACATCCACTTTTTTAGGGTGCCCTCTTATGATGGATAGATCCACTTTTATGGACTTCAAAACAGAACCAGCCATTGAATGCCGTTATAAAGCTTGGACGTGCCAGGACATTTTTAAATATAACTCTGATTGTGTTCATCTTGAGCGTGAGTAAATCATGGGATCGATTCCATTTTTGGGTGATTTCATTTTTGGGTTATGTCTTGTGGCTATAATTTTGAAACCGAGTATTTTAGCTTTTATGCATTGGCCTCATTGTATTGTGCAGTAAGTTCACTGAACCATTTTTTTTTTTTTTTTTTTTAAAGAAAGGAGCAATTCAAAATTAATATGCATGTTATTATGCCACAGGGACTGTCAGTTAAACTTGAAATACTCCTGAATAAATCTTAGCTGTCCATAGTTTTACCAAGAATGCCGTGTGCTCAGAATAATAAGAAATCTTGAACCTAGAAATGTTCTAGAAAATTGGATTATGTCAAAACAGTCAGCTTTGTGAATATTCTTTCAATGCGTGGATGATGTGCATCTGTGAACAGGAACTGCAAGCATTTCCTGCCATTCATCTGTTTTCCACTGTGTCACAAGCCACTCTTTCCTTAGCCAGTCTGCATAAGAAACACTCTATTCAAGTCTAGTTTGCCTCCTGTCTGAGCTTCCCATGGCTCTCTCTTTCATAAGATTACCTGAAATGGGCTGTAAGTAGACTGAGTGTGGGTGAGAGCACTGCGGAGGAGGGAATTTTCTGCGGTCGGACACTGGTCGTTAACCTCTGTCTCTTGTTATTCCAGGAGGTTTTTCTAAACATCGGGAGAGCTGGGGCCTGTGTGGTGGTCGTGAAACTGCCTTGAAGGCACAGAGTCCCTGGACTTTGACCTCAAAAAGGCGTGCAATGTCAACTCTTGGAATGCTCTTTTCACACAGTACAGAAAGTTCATCAAAGCTATCGTCAATAGTGGATTCAAAAACATTCTGTTTTTACTCCGATATTTCAGCACTATTAGAGACTGGGGTGGAAAAAAAATGCTTGTAAGATTTTACTTTAACTGTAATAAAATTATATAAGAAAATTTCACATTTTATATTAAGAAAAAAAAAATACTTTTGAAAATTTATCCAGGCTAATTTTGTTTTTAGGTAGAACTTTTCATTTTAGTATTAACATCTTGTTATTTTCATCCAACATTTTTGACATTCTTCTAATCTTTTAACTATATCAAAATCAAATGTATTTCAAAGACAGCTGCATACTTGTTTACTTGTGTAATTTTGTGGAAAATGTATTTTGATCTTAGATACACAATTTTAAAAACCACTGTGAATACTTCCAGTTGTATACTTGCAACCAATTATCCTGGTTTATACCCAAAATGTTTGTGGACACTCACTCATGCAATTCTCATCTGAAGTTACATTTTGTCCGAGACTAGGTTCAGCACGAAGTTACTATAGAAGCAAAAAACAAAAAACAAAAATAAATAAAATAAAAAATAAACAAAAAACACCAAAGTAATTAGCACGTGTTTGTAAGTCATGATTTTAATGGTAATAAGGTTTACAGTAGAAAATATACTATTATATCATATTGATATTTCACCTTTATGTAAAGGTTTTGTAGTATTGTAAATAGTCCCTGGTCCAATGTAATTTATTATCATAACATATTGGCATGCTACTTCAATATGTTTGATTTCCTTTATTAAATGTTTTAAAGACCCCATGAAATCACATTCCAAACAGTTTTGTGTTGAAATGTTCCCTATTCGAACTGGAAGATCGAACGGGATATATCAAAAGGCTCATTTTATATTAAATCGGCTAAAGTTTTGTCACAATCATGAAAATTTTAAATTTGTATATCTGCCAAAAGATAATTTTGTCTGCATTTACAAATAAAATAACATATACAGCTTCAAAGCTTACAGACATGGACTAAATGCAACAAAACTCTTGGTATCATGGGGTCTTTAACCATGATGTCAAAATCAGTCGCTAAAACTGTTATATAATTTATTGCTTTGTGATACTGATATTCACGTGTTGTTTGACTGCCATAATGTTTTATTGAAGAGCCTCATTACCTTTTATTGAAGAGACTTAACTGGAATGTAACATGCTGATCAAGAATACGTTTACTAGTGTGACACATTTGTAATACAGAAAATGCTTTCATTTACTTTTTCATTGTTTTATATGGCATGCTGAAGAAACTTGGGAAATAAAAAGTTATTCTCTTTACTGAGTATTTCCATGGCATATGCCATCTGAATAGGCAATACTTGTCCTGCATATGCTGTTTCAAGCCCCTTTATTTTTATTTTTTGTAATACTCCAGTGGCCTCCAGTGGTTGTCTCTTGTACAGCCATGGATGCATATTGCCTCAGCTGTAGTGTCTGTTAGATGTCTTGTATCTAAAACATCAAACAGACACTACTGTCTTGAAACTAATAATGCATTCTATCTGAAAATTAAAATATGACCACTGAAACAAGTCTACCACAAAGATTATCCATGTCATCTGCAACAAAATCAACATGTGGCCAACAGTCTGGCTACTTTCTTTATGCTAAACATTATAATTTTGAAGTCAAAATCTAACAACAACATAAGATTTCTACAATGGGCAATTCATCAAGTACACTGGTAGAATCATTATTCTACATGAAGGACATAACTGAATCGATATGAAATGAAAAAAGGCTATAGCATTTCAATCAAACAGGCCCATAGACTTAGGAGGTTCACTTAAATGGTCCAAGGCTATAGAAAAAAAAAAGAACCTGGATTGGTGCAGTGTAACCTTTAAAAAATTAATGTGTTATTTGTTGATAGTTTGAAATGTCACAAGATGAAAGTGATGCGAAAGGACAGAGCAATGCCTAAAGCCAGAATGCATCTGATAAAATGGATAGATTGCAATTATGTTCTTTGTTGTCCAACAGAGCAAGAGCAAAACAAAGACTGAACATTTCAAAGGGAATAAAAATTGATTATTATTGCAACGCAATTGCTGCAGCACATCAGAAGATGGGTGGAGAGGGAGTGCGAAAGGCTAAAACGGCTGCAGGTGTTGTTTCAGTCCCACCAGATGTTGGAAATGGCAATATCTGAAAAGCCCTCTGAAATTACCTGACCTCCGGTTCATGGAAAGCTGTGTCTGTTTCATCCAAGCAGGAAGTGAGAAATCAATGCCAAGACCTCTGAATGAATGTAAGAAAGTACAGACCTATATAAATTCTACTTATTTTATGTTACATCTGTTTTATTTGTATTAGCAACTTTCTAATTTTGAGAATATTTACTTTACTTTCTCTGAAATCACAAACCTTAATAATAATCTGTCACAAATTAATTTCATCTTGCAAAAAAATACAGCAAGTGTGATTTTGTTGGACATCACATAAAAGTAATCTACGCTTCTGTCGATATCACTGGGACCATCAAATTATTTTGCATACTTATTGCAGAGCTCAAATAAGAATTCAATATAAACACGACAGTCTTGACTAGAACCAGCAGACCTTGCAATGACTTACTGTGACACATACTCAACCTGGCTCTACATTTGAACATGGCTTTACATTTTAATGTGTGTGCATAATTGTGTGTTTACAGCAGATGGTGCTGTTGCACTTTAAGTCACATTGCTTTAAATAAGGCGTTCTCTGTCCTTGCTATTAACAATACATTGAACACAGAGAGAGAGAGTCAAAGCATGGCTGCCTTAGTCACTTTTTGGCATCCATAATGGCTCACTTTTAGTCTAGAACTACAATAAGCATCATGTTCACATAACGCCCTTTGCATTTTTCAATTTTTCTCAACATGGGGACGGGAGAGGTGTTAGTCAATAAATAGGGAAACAAAGAAACTTGTTTACTTTGATTTTTTTTAAAATATATTTATAACCGAAAATATATTCAGTTAGGTGACGCCTTGGGGGTGAGAATGGGCTGAACATGAAGCAGTTCCAACTTTAAAACCAGAGGCAGCAGTTGTTTGGCCACAACCTGTAAGTAGGCTAAGACTTCATCATTTTAAATGTATTTGCATGTATAATTCCAGATGTAGCCTTGTGTTTTATTTTTTTTCAAATGCCAGTGCTGGCTTTATAGCCACTATAGGCTACTAGTTATGCTATTTTGTGTCTACGACAAACACGTATAAACATTATGGACCTGAATTTTGAATAAGTACTAATGTTTTAAATGTATTTTTCATGTATATATGCTTTATGACGTTATTTTCGATTTGATCAAGAACGTAATCTAATGCCAACGCTGTTTGAGTATAACAGTCAGTCAGTTGCTATTGTTGCCAGTCAGATGCTATTGTGTTAAACAAACGTGTATAAAGTTAAAAAATTTAGCAAATTATCATTCAGAAACGTTTAGTAAAAGCCGTTTGTGGTGAGGTTCTGCTGGACTCACTTTCTCGCCGCTTTCTCGGTCTGATTCTGCCTCAAACTGACACTGTATCGACATGAATGGACCGGAGCGCAGGCACGTTTCGCCCATAAAGGTAATGGGCGTTTATCTTCCAGACAACGTGAGCAACAGTTTAGCCAATCACAACACACCGGCCCAAACTAACCAATCTGAGCCCACTGCCTGTTTCTGAGGGAGTGCTTTCATAGACTCAGGAAGTCAACCGCTCATTCGAGGACATAGGAGAGTGCGGCTGACAATGGGCTCTATGCACGGCGGTATTTCCGGTGAAGGTTTAAGGATGCTCGATTACTTCTGTCTATCGTTGAGTCCAATGCAATACCGAGAATTTATATTGAATTTTATACTCCATGGTTATACTAAAGAAACGTTAGTCACAAAAAACAGATAAAACAGACACCCCTTGTTGTGTTTATGCTTCTTTTTAAAATGATATTAAATAAACATAACTATATATAAAATGACATCTAATGGCTCTTTCAGACTGCACGATTTTTAAAGTAGTCGGGTCGCTGCTCTTTTCACACTGCATGACTATCTTGGCCAGCATTCAGTCGCTGCTGTGTTCACACTGGACGATGGATCGGCGACAGAAGGTTTCACACTGCATGACTTTAGAAAAATCGCCGACAGACTCTGTCTAGCACGCTGCACGCAAACTACATTTCACAACAAACACGCGTGAGATATGAAAAGGAAATAACGCGCGACATCACACGTGCAAGACCGGAGTTCTCATGTGAGACTTTTTTTTTCGACCCGGTTGTGGTAAAGCTGGTGAAACAGACACGAGTGCTCCTGCCAAATTTCTACTAATTTTTCTTCCATTTATTGTGTCCAAATAGACCGAGAAGAAACTTTTTTTGTTGAAACAATGCCATATCATGTTGATATGTGATCTATAACTCCTCCCCGAACTCCCTGCTGCTCTGTATCTTGCTCTCTCACTGGCTGCCGGTGATCGCCGATGTAGTTTTCAGTCAAAACACTTTTCACACAGCAGGATTTTGAATCGCCGACAGGTCCAGATATTTAGCATGCCAAATATCTCATGGGCGTCGGCGACTTGTCGGTGATTCTCTCAGTTCGCGTCTTTGTTCATTCACACTGCGTGATTGTCACTCGCGTGAACGAGCGCCGATTTGCCTGTGATTTCGGGCATTTGTCGGCGATTTCTCAAAACCTGTCGGCGAGCCAAAATCGTGGCTAAAATCATGCAGTCTGAACTCGGCATAAACGTATGAAAGTTTCGTTTCAAAGACGGCAGGACAGTAAATTTTGAAGACTCTGCCATAATCCCGTTTTCCTTGGTTTTCCTCCTCTTTAATCTTCACAACCGGAAACTGACGAGCATCCTTGCGTCAAATGTGAAACTTATGTGTGCATATAGCCCATAAAGGTGAAGTTTATGAAAAATAAGACTTTCTAAAAAGAAAAAAAAAACACGAATACGTGTTATATTGCACCCCATAAACACAATCATGCAAAGAAAAAAAGCAGTCAACCCCCCCTTTAAAATCCTCTCAAATTGGGTTTAACCATAGATTTTAGCAAATGTGCCAGAAACCCACGCTCATTCAAGGATGTGCCTTTATTGCATGGACGTAAAACTTCCTTTTACAGCACAGTATTTACGTGTACTTACCTAGAAAGTTCTGGCTATAATATAAGGTAACATGGGTCAGTGGTAACAGGACTGTAAAAGGAAGTGTTACCAACCCCCCCCCAATATATATATATATATATATATATATATATATATATATATATATATACATACAATAACTTGAAAACATAAATCTTGTCACAGTCCTCATCTGCGCCTGTCTGTTTTTGTTTGCACTACACTACCCAGAATTCTCCTTGTCTCCACACCTGAACTCACTCCCTCACTTACCAGCCTGTTCATCGTTATCTTCATCAATGTCACCTGTCTTCACCTTATGTTTGATTTGTGCTTGTATTTAGTTTGCTTCTGTTCAGCCTGTCCTGGCTGGTCTTTTTTTTTGTGTGTGTGTGATTTGTGGATCTTTAGCCCATCTACCTGCCTGAGCCAGTTTTTTGATTTAGTAATAGTAAATGTTGGAATTGAAGTTTTTGACTCAGTCTCTCCTTAAACCTGCACAAATCTATAGTATGGCTTCCGAGGGCTTTTTTTATTTATTTATTTTTTTTACTTTTAGTGATGGAACTTAGAATACGCTCATAGTCATTGAGGAGATGGATAATCTAGGACTATCTGACCAGCAAATGCATTTTTGTTTGTGCAGAGATTGAATGTCAAAAGAAATATTTCTACAAAGCATTTTTTTTTTCTTTTAAATATTACATTTTCCCCCTACAACAAATATCACAACTCTGAAAACAGATAAAACTTGAGGGTTATTTATTATGCAAGAAGCTCAATACAAATATAAAATACAAATAAAGCAACAATACAGTGGATATGATTTTATATACAGTGTTGGCCTATATATACACATATATATATAAAAACAGTAATTGCTGTCAAAAATGTCAGAAGTGATCTGGCAAGGCAGGGAAGAGGAAGGGAAAGACGAACTGTTGTTCCAAAGCCACCTCATTTGAAAATGTCTTAATTGCTATTCATACGTTCTCAGAGGTATTTTCTGCAGTGCCAGAAAATGACACACAGCATGAGAGGCATCTGCAATGTTCGTCAGATGTTTCGAGCCTGAAATGGGAAGTAGAGACTTTGTCTCAGAGGCTGAAATGATGTGCTGATTGTCATTCAATTTAACAAGATGTGACTGGAGGAATGTGCAGAT